TATATTGTTTACTAGACTCCGCTGGAAACTCCACTGCAGAGCTTTTACATTGTTTACTAGACTCCACTGGGAACTCCACTGCAGAGCCATTACATTGTTTACTAGATCAGTGCAGTGTTGTTGTTGTTTTTTTTTTCTCAGCCTAAAAATACCAAGAAAAAGAAAATTAACAGACATAAATGAAGAGTTATCTGCTGATGATAATGTATATGATAATATATTTGACTAGATTGATATGCACTGCATTTAGGTTAAAAAACATTTTGTAAAGTGTATAGTGATCAAATGTAAATTTTAAATTACTAGATCAGTGCAGTGTTGTTGTTGTTTTTTTTTTCTCCGCCTAAAAATACCAAGAAAAAGAAAATTAACAGACATAAATGAAGAGTTATCTGCTGATGATAATGTGTATGATAATATATTTGACTAGATTGATATGCACTGCATTTAGGTTAAAAAACATTTTGTAAAGTGTATAGTGATCAAATGTAAATTTTAAAAGTGTAAAATTTAAAAATTGAATAAAATAAAGACACTGACATGGGAAATGGGGTGATCAGGCCCAATATCAGTGCTGAATCCGGAGCTACAAGCTAACCATGTTCTTACGTCACTCTCATGAATTAGAGATGTGAACACAGAGAAGGGATCAAAGTGAAATTTTATTAAGAGAGAGAGAGGAAGGAGGGAACAGAACTCCCAAGCAGGGAGACATCTCAGAAATTAGTTGCTGCCAGTTGGTTTGGGTCTCAGGTCTATATCTTAGCTGGGAGAAACGTGTGTACATTTTCCTTATGATATGGGTCACCTGTCCTGTAAATCGTGCCATATCTTAGAGCAGTCTCACAGTCAGGAGGTTTTCCTAATGGTGATTGATTTGTTCGCTTGTTTGTTGAGAGACTTCTTAATTTAGAAAAAGATGATCATCTCAGTTAACGTGGAAGGCCTGTTGATCCATATCTTGGAATTTACCTCTTGGCATCAGGAACTCTTGCCTCCTTCTAGTCTTGGCAATAAAACCTTACTTTACCTGTGTGCTCTGTGCTGTGACAACTGGCCCTTGGTTTGGGCCTAATTAAGTCTCATAGCAAGGAGTCATAAATTCTTTAAGAACAAGATCTACATGTCCATAGTTCAAAGGAACACAGTGACGTTATGAAAACAGAAATTACATAGCATAGGTGTTCTCTTCCCAGGGTCTCTGCCCTATCTACTTGCAAATGGGCTCCAATGCCTGTCTCAATAGTAGTGTTTGGAATGATTCCTAATAAGCCATGTTTTGTGTAGATATGACTGTGTTCGAGTGGTATATAAATAGTCCCTGACTGTATTTTGACTTTAGGATGATGTGAAAGCATACATATTTAGTAGAAACCCATCACCTGGACTTTGAATTTTGACCTTTCCCTGGGCTAGCAGTACACGGTATGATATTGTCGCAATGTTGGCAGTGGCAGTTAGTCAGAAAGTATAGTATATGTATCCAGTCTACAGGCAGAAGACAGATATCTCAACTCCAGCAGTCAGATAGAGACTGAGAAAATTCAACCGTTTTCCACTCTTATTTTATTCAGGCTTTGGGTTGGATGATGCTCACCCACGTTGAGTAGGACAGTCCTGCTTACCCAATCCACCAATTCAGATGCTTATCTGTTCCCTTTTTTCTCCCCCTGGGTTTTATCTCTGACCACAGTCATCATCATCTTTTTGTTCCAGAGTGCTGTACAAATTTTGTCATATTCCTAGAGTGCTGGGCTATAAAAAGTTTGGGAAACAATACGTTAAGATAAAGATTTAGATCCAAAATAGGTTAAGAACCAAAATAAGTGATTTAAGACAGAGAGATATTTGTTTCAATCCAGAGATAGACAAACACAGCCAATAGGAGAACTCTGTACCAAAAATTCTTCTAAGAACACAGAATTCTATTTTGTTGTTTCACTCTCTGCTGTTCTTGTTTACATGGTCCTACTTGGCTTGCCTCCATCATCACATTCCAGACAGAGGAGGAATGAAATAAGCCAGGCAGGAAGTATGGAGGAAGAGCATGCTCCTCCTTTCTTTAAAGCATGTGACCTAGAATTTGCACACATCATTTCTGCCCACATCCAACTGGCAAAAGCCTTGTCTTCTATCCCTGCAGCTACATGAAACTTGGAGAATTTCAGCCTTTAACCTGAACAATTGAGTGATTTGCTGCTACTGGTAACAAGGGAATAATGGACTTGGCAGCCAAGATGGGGAAATAGCTTTTATTGGTTAATACTTTCTGTAACTACTACTATGAATAAAATAATACACCCCCACTTCTCTAGCCCCTTGCTCTATACAGTAAGATGTGGGTATTAATCTCTCTCTTTTTAAAAATATGATTTCATTTGTTTTCTTTATTCATGGTAGAACACATGCCTGTGCCCATGAAACAGAGAGAAAGAAAGAGAGACAGAGAGAGAGATGAGTACTCTCCACAGGGTCTAGTCACACTATGGATCCCATTTTATCAGTGCTACCATCCTGCTGTCCGTAATATCTTGGGCACTTGCATGCATGCCTGGTGTGTTTCAGGCTGACCATGCGAGGAATTTGAACCATGGTCACCATATGGGATCCAGTTTTTTTTGAGCAACACATCACTGCTGTGCCACAGAGCTGGCCCTACTTCTTTCTTCAGTTGTAAAGGAAAAAAAAAAAAAAGGTAAATACTTAAAACCCTTTTATTTAGCAATAATCATATCTCACTTAAATTGTAAAGTTGTCAATAAAACTCATAATGCTGTCTCCTTGGAAATATTGGGTCTTCAAAACAGTCATGGTATGTTTTTCTATGCAAAAACATGTCATGAATTTTCCAGCTACCCAATAGAATAACTAACCCAGGTCGCCTAGGACCAACTGAGGTTTCAATTGTTCCATGAGTCCTATGCAACTGTTAAGTGAAATAATTTGTGAATGGACATTTATATAGCTTGGTTAAGAACATAGGTCCTGGAGTCAGATTGTCTGGGTTAAAATTCCATTTAGCAATTTACTA